TAAGGTTCAAGGATATACGAGAGAGAGAGAGAGAGAGAGAAGAGAAAAAAGAAAAAAAGAGAGAGAAAGAAGTCGTTATCATCATCATTATTACTAATATCATTGACATTATCATCATCATCATCATCATCATCTTCATCCTCATCAACATCAACATCATCTTCATCACCATCATCATCATTCATACCAGCAACAACAGCATTAAACAACAACATCATAAAACAACAACATATAATAAAACAACATCAACAACAACCACGACATCAGAAAATCTTAAAAAGACTTTACACAGAAACAATTAGGCACTTAGGTCGATTGACATCTGCAACATCATCAGCAGATTATGAGAAGCGCATAAAATACCAAACTCTAAGTGAATAACAACAGCAACAACTACAACTACCACTACAACAACAGTAACTAGAGCAGCAACAGCTACAACATCAGCCAGCCACAACAACATCAGCCACAACAACTACAGCTACAAACAGCAGCCACAGCAGCCACAACAACAACAGCCACAACAACAACAACAGCAATAATAATAATAATATTAATAAAAACAACAATCCACTAACAATATTTTGCTTATCCAACAAGGACTCCTGCTGTTTGCAAGCCTAGAATAAAAATAAATAAGAAAGAACAATAAGAATAACAATAATAATCATGTTAAAAATCATAAGAACAATAATTAATAATAATAATTATTATTATTATTATTATTAATATTATTGGCACAGACCTCGCAGACTTGTTGAAACAGTTGGTGAGGTGTTAGGAAGACCCGAGAATTCAAGAGGAATGCAAAGATGTAGGACTTCTAATGTGAATAAAAAAAAATAATCATATTAATAATAACAATAACAAAACACATTTAAACACATATGCACCCAAATACACACACACATAAACACACTACAAACATACACAATTTTGTATAAACATACAAACATTAGAAGCAGACAGTTAACCACCAGACACACACACACACACACAAACATACATCTGGATAGTATGTTGATGTCGGTACAAGTCGGTATATTAGCAATGGTAGCGGAGCTACCTCTATCATTCCATCTTTGTATGTTATCTCCTTATAAGGAAATTATTATAACTATAATAAATTCATAATTAAAACAAAATTATGGCATAATTATAACTATAATTTTACATTACAAACAATAGCGTTGACCTTGACTTAATTGAAATGTATGTAATATATGATAAATATAATATTGTAATATGCAAAAATAATATTATGGTGCACACACAAACACAAACATCAATCTATCAATCAATCTTGTTAAGCGTCCAGAGACCCAGTTCCCCCAAGGAAGGACACATACACAAACAAACAAACATACAAACACAAACACTCAAACTGACATCTGAAAAACTATCGGAAGAGTTAAGTGAAGCGAGATCATCATTGATGTTGTTGTTGCTGCTGCTACTGTGGCCTATGTTGTTGCTGCTGTGGCCTATGTGGTTGCTACTGCTGCTGCTAATGTTGTTGCTGATGTTGTTAGTATAGCTGGGGCCATTTTTGCACGAGATGTCGGAGTGAAATTCAGCCATAACAACGAAAAACACGCAAATTAAGACTGAAGAATTGGTCTGATTGTGAGAGATGATCTTCTGGAATTGAGAAAATTAACAGATTAAGATTTTTAAGATGCTCAATCAATCAAACAAAAAATCCAAATAAAATCACATAACAGAGTTTTGATAACTAAAAAGGCAAAAGCTCTTAAGTCATACTTTTAACTGTTACTTAAAACGTTAAAAGTGTTACTGTTAAAAGTAAATCTTATTCTTAACAACAGGCTGTTAATTAAAAAAAAAGCTACATTAATAAAATAATAATCCATTTTGAAAACTAACCAAGAAGAAGCGCTTTTACTTTTCGAAAATTAACATCTTTTATAAAAAATTAATTAATCTCTACACTAAAAAATCAGTTGATCGTTTTTAATTAATTTTTAATTGGAAAATTTCAAAAATTTAATAAAAAATATGGGGACGTAGTGCATTAAACCGCCTTACGTAAAGTAACATCGCGAAACATTTCAACCAATTGTAAGAATTCTTAAAATACTTTTTATGAATTACGATTAATAATTTTCTCCCCAATCCGAAATTAGTGAAAAATTCGCCAAAAAAATCTACTTTGACAACAAACATGGCAATTATTTATTTATTTTATGTAGGGATGGCCAGGTTAAAACTTTTATTTAACATTTTCGGTTCTAAATCTTTCGCTACCGGAAAAAAATTCACTAAAAAATTAACTAATGTAAACAAATTCGAAATGCTGCTAAAATTGTATTTTTAGAGTCATTAATTACTTAATTATCGGTAAATTACTGTTAAATATTTCATTTTATACCGTTTTCAATTTTAATTCTACTAAATTTTGAATCGGATACTCTTTTTTGTCTTTTGAAAAAATACTCTGTCTCAGTGTATGTGTGTGTTGTTGTTGTGTAATTGTAATGTGTATGTATGCCTGCTGACTACTACTTTATACCATACTATACTTACCATATTATATACTATATGTATGTTATATATGTATATATATGTTCTTATTATATGTAATTGTTCTAGACTTAGTCTAACTTCTATTCAAAGCATACCTTGGTTCTATGTTTCTAATTTTATACCCTGTTTTTAGTAAATTTTGTTTTTCAGCTAGTTATTCACAATTAATGTTCTGTCATACGTTTATTATTTTATAATTATAATGTTATAATTAGTATGAAATAGTATATTATTATATAAATAAATGTTGATATATATATTTATTTAATGAAATAAATTTATATAAAATAAATGTGTGTAAAAATGTGTGGCTGGGTTAAGATAATGACGTTTATTTAATTTCGGCTTTAAAACTAATAATATTTATGTTAACTTAGGTCTGGCTTGTTAAAAGATATAGAAGCAATCAGATGAACTTCACCTTTAGAAAAATAACCAAATAAAGCAGTAAAACGAAACATACAAGCTGGTGAACTGTGGCAACACCACCACCTCCAGTTAACACGTATTTAACTAACAGAGATGACTCTAATTAAAGTTAGTGCAAAGTTAGACAGGACAGACAAGAGCACACCCTGGGGCTTCAGAATGGCTGGGGGCAAAGATTTCGGGGTACCATTGGTCATTCAAAGGGTTGGATAAAAAAATTATGATTAAAAAAATTATAATTATAAAAAAAATTATTTTCAAGTTATAACTTAAAAGTTTGAACAATATAATTAAAAATAAAATATAAATACTTATAATTTTTGTTGTTGGTTTTTTATAACAAAGGTTAACCCAGGAAGCCTGTCATCACAGTGTGGGCTACAGGAGGGAGATACCATTGTGCAGATAGGGGGTGTCAGCTCATCATCGTTAACCCACAGAGAGGCTCAAGATCTAATTTTAAGTTTGGGGAATTCCTTAGAGCTAAAATTAGAAAGGTTAATACTCTTTTGCCACATTTGATAATGAAAATAGTTGTAGTAACGTTACTTATAATAAAATAAATAAGTACACTTAAAAAAATTTTATTAACATCTAAATCACCAATGAAGTTTTTTTCAAATAATCAAATAAAAATTTTGCTGTGTTTAATTATATCAGGGAAATTATTATTATTATGTTGTTGTTGTTGTTGTTGTTGTTACGATTTTTATTATTTGTTTTGCTTTCACCGACGTCATCATCGTCATCATCGTCGTCGTCATTCTTTTCATCATCAACCTTTCCTAATCATATTTTATGCTTAGTGCATGCACTGCATGTATGTATGCATATATATATATATATATTTATGTGTATGTTGTATATATATATATATGTATATATATATATATATATATATATACATCTCTGCCAATGCTTTCCATGTAACTTAACATTAGTGAAAGTAATAGTAATAACAAAAATATCTTTGATTTTCGTTGTTATTATTGTTATGATTATTCTTGGTGCCAGCAGTAGTAGTAATAGTAGCGGTAGTAGTATTATTAGTGGTAGTAGTAGTAGTAGTAGTAGCAGTAGTAGTAGCAGTATAGCAGTAGTAGTAGCAGTAGTAGTAGTACAGGAGTAATAATAATAAGTAGCGTTCTCAGATAAGCAAAGAACTACATAAGACCGTTATCATGGAAAATATAAGCCATAAAACCGATGATGATGACGATGACGATGATGATGATGATGATGCTCTTGTCGATGATGATAATGGTTTTGTTTCTAATCTTTCCTCCGACCCGTATCTTGAAAAATATTTCTTAATAATCAAACTCTACGGTTATATATTGGAAAAAATTTCCAACCCTATATAGTGAAACCCACATACAAACAAATATAAACAAACATACAAACAAATGCATGCATACAAATGTATACAAACACATCCAGACACATATAAACATATTGAAACATTCACTTACATGTACAGTACATTCATAAAATACAAACAATTTTTTCACAAATACAAAATTACGGTTATATTAATACAGACATATATATACGCAAATACACATAGACACAGACATACAAACTACCACATATCCACATATAAACAAACACACAAGCAAACAAATGCACATACATACATCTTTTTATACAGAGGTTCTTTAATAAGATCAAACTCGGAGCATCAATATTAATGCTCTTCTACTGTATTAGTAGTTGTTGCTTTCTGAGTTATCCATGGCTTCTTATAAAAAAGAAAGATAGATTGAAAAAAAGAAAGAGAGGACAGGGAGGGAAAGAGAGAGAGAGAGAGAGAAGGAGAAGAGATAGAAAAAGAGAGAGTGGAATAGAGAAAGAGAAAGAAAGATAGAGAGATTAACGTTGTCGTCATCATTATCGTTGTCTTGTAATCAGAGAGATGGATAGGAAAAAAGGAAGAGTAAGAGAGGTTGGTTGGAGGAGAAAATGATGAAGGATGTTCAGTTTTTAGGCAAAAAAAATGAAAAAAATCATCTTCATTAACGTTTATATCGTCATCATCATCATCGTCGTTGTCATCATCATCATCTTCTTCTTCATCGTCTTCGATATTATAATTATCAAATAGTAATTTGTTTTTTTAAATTTGTACAAATCCTTTTATCTTTACAACTGTATAAGTTTGTACGTGTGTATGTATGTGTGTGTGTGTGTGTGTATTTGTTGGTTTGCATGTTTGATTGTTTGCATGTTTTTTATGTGTGTATGAGTGTGTTTGTACGATATGGATGTATGCATGTATGAATGTATGTATGTCTG